CCGAGGGGGCCCAGGGCGAGGGGAGGGGTTCGCCTAGGCGGAATGTGGGGAGCCCGCGGGCCTTGGCGCTGGAGAGGCTAGGTAGGGAGGGGCTGTGGGTTGTAAGGGTAGATATAGGGGGGAGCAGAAGTTTGGGGGCAGAGGGGTTTGTGGCAGAGGTGGGTGGGAGGTTGTGGGTATGAGGCAGAGATTGGGGCAATGGGGTGTGATTGGAAAGATGGAGCTACATGGGGGCTTTCGGGGCAATGAGGTGTGTGACACGAAGAAAGAAGCTTGGGGTGACAGCAGCTGAGGCAGACATGTAGGGGGAAGGTTGGGGAGGCTATTATGAGAGAGAATGGAATGGAAGTTTGGGGCCATAAGGAGGGGAAGAAATTTTTTAAAATGGAGATGTATATGAGGATGGGGTTTCTGGAAGAGAGTAGAGTTTGGGGGTGACCGGTGTTGGGAAAAGAATAGGAAATATAAGAATTTGGGGTGATGAAGAGAGAGACAAGTTCAAAGATGTCAGCTTGAAGAAAGGAAAGCATGAGGAACCTTAAGAAGAAATGACAGGAGGGGCCAGATGCATGGGGTGCTGGGGTGCTGGGTAGGAAAGGAGGGTGAAAGACACAGGGATGGCTGGGTTCTGGGGGTGGGGGTTTCCAGGAGAGCTGAGGAGGATTTCCATTGGCAAAACAAGGTAGACTGAATGGAGTAGGTGTGGAGGGGGGTAGGGGTAGGTAAAGAAGATACAAGATAAACAAGGCCTTTGGTGGCAGTATGGAAGAGGGAATGTCAATGATGCAGAAGACAAGAGGAAAGCAGGGAAAGGAAGTGATAGAAATGGGGGAGGGCAAGCGCTGGTGTAGGGAAGAGATTAATTCATAGGAGTGCAGCACCATTCTCAGGCCCTCTGGTGGTGTCTCCATTGAAGTCATCACTGATGGTACTTTGGGCCCCAAGGAAGGGGTGGAGAAGGGATTAGGCTCAAAATTGAGCCAAATCCCTAGGTGCCCTGGTTCCCCAATCCCAATCATTCTAATATGGAGACAACCCCCACCACAGGCTGAAGGCTCTTTTTTCTCCCACACTGCTCTCCAGGCAGCCTCTGCCACTGTCAGGCTGCCAGCCATTCCCAGCCTTCAGCCTTGAAGCCAGCAGCATCCCCAGCAGTCCACCACCAGTGTCTTCTTCTGGTCTGGCTGTCTGGCCCCACACCAAGCAGCAACATTTCTCAGGACAAAGGACACCAAGACACTGGTTGGTTTTTGGCAGCTGAGTTTGGGAAGGCCAGAGAATGGGAAGGAGGCAGGCTGGGAAACAGGAAGAGCTGGGGCTGGAGTCTGGATTTGGAGCCCTCAATAGCTCTCCATGTTTGGAGTGGGGTAGGGTATGTGTGAGGCCAGGACAGCTAGAGGCCAAGGGTGGGCCCTGAATGGCAGGATCCCACCAACCTTCTGGGAAGGATGGATATTGCTCTGTAGCAACTCAGTAGATTTTGCCTCATATTTCCTTGGGCCAGGCTCAGCCAAGTTCTAGGAATACCCAAAAGCTCTAACCAGAATCTAAAGCACTGGGGACCCTGAACAAGAGGCTTCCTTGGCCTAGAAAGAATAGCCAGGGCCTACCCCCACTCTTTTGTCTCTTGAATTAGTTGACACTTTACCACCATGTGCCCACCTTCCTAATCCCTTGGGCCTTCAAGAGACCAGGCCAGCTCCCTATCTCCCCCCACCCCTCAATGTTCTGCCCCCCTCCCAGTACCCTAGAATAGCTCCTGTTCCTCCCCACCTC